TTTTACTAGTTTGATATCGATCCCGTTTTCTAAAGATTGTGATATCAACAGGGTTTTTCCTTTTTTGGCCAAGGTTGGTGCTCTATGTGAATTTTTAAAAATTTCACAATACAAATAAATAAATTTTCATATGACATAGTTATTAGCAAAATGAAATGCCTACACATCATAAATTTATATCCAACTACGATATACAACAATCACACTAGAGGATAAGTGATTAAAAAAATACACACACACAATTACTACTTCATACACAATCAACAAATTGCAACCAAAATCCTAGGAATCACTATTAAGATCCAAAATCGCTCAACTAAAATGAGTAGATAGATGAAGATAATTAGACAAATTAAATAAATATTTAATAGGATTTAAAAATATAACTTACTATTTAAAAAGAAATTAAATCATCTTCATGAAAGAAGTCTGTTTCTTGTAGGGGCATGGCCGTGTCTAATATATTTTATTAGAGTTTAGTGTATAGTAGTGTTTTGTGGGTTAGTGCCTAGTGGAAAGGGTGAATAAACAATATATAATATTTTATTAGAGTGTGTTAGTAGTCTTTGGACTTAATAGATAAATGAATTATTTTGGTGGATTAGTAGATTGGTTTATTAGACTGAGCTAGAAATATATTATTTTTTTAAACTAATAGTTGTTAAAAGAAAATAACAGCCTGGGCTTCAGCCCAGCCCAGGCCTAATGTAGGTCCGTCCATGCCGTTAGGGTAGCGCAAGCAGCGCGCAGTGACCCGTCAACGAGCAGAGGACGAACCGTCGACGAACAGGCGGACAATGCGCGGGCGAGACTGGTAATGTGCAGGCGTCGCGCGGGCAAGACTGGGCAGCGCGCAGACGAGGCGCGGTTCGTGTGGGCGAGGCAGCATGATCGTCGTACTACGGGCCAAGAACTTCGGGCGACAGACAGGCGAAGGAACGTGCGAGATAGCGCGCGGGTTGACGAGGCAGAAAGCGCGACCTACTAGCAGACCCCGCGAAACAACGCAATCGACGGGGCGACCGCGCTACTGGCGAGGTGTCCGTGGAAGACTGCGTCTGTGGACGGAACGCACTGGCAGTTGGACCATCGCTCAACAGACTCGGGAATCTCGCGCAAAGCGTGTGCAGCAAGCTAGGCAGCGAGCCTTGAGAGGCAAGATAGCCTAATTTTCCTAGTTTAGTTATTGTTATAAATCTATTCCTAATTAGCATAGGTATTTGATTATTTTGGTGATTCTTAGAACATTAGATATTTACTTTCCTTAGGGTTAGAATTTATTTTCTCATAGGCTTAGTAGTTCTCTTCTTTAAATAGAATATGTACTGATTTTTTATTTCATTATTAAGCAATAAGATATAACAAAAACGCTTTTTCAAGCACTCTCTTGTGTTAACCAAAGACTGTTAGTAGGGGTTTTCGCAAATCACAACACTACAATACACGATCTTCGTCAAAGACCCACTAACATGCATGAAGGGAGTCACTAAGGGGGTGATTGTTTATCAATTCAACAAAAAAATTAAAAAATAAAAATAAAAAAAATAAATCAAAACTCAAATTTAATTCAACTTTAACCCAACTCCACTATATAAAATATTATCAATATAATTAAATAATATCAATCAATCATTCTTACTAGGGCTACAAACAAACTGAGCAGTGTTTTTTGTGTTTTTGTGCTTATTTTCGTGTGTTTTATGTGCTTTAATTTAGTCTTTTTAGGTTCGTTTTAGTGTCGACCGATTCATTTTATCGTATTTCGTGTGTTTCTATGTCTTTCTTTTTATTCTTCATTTTTGGCGTACATTTTCGTGCTCTTGGGTGTATTTTCAGGATTATTCCGAGGATGATGAGAGAATTCGAACCGAGTCCCGAGAGACGAGCACTTTCCAAAGAGTTCCGAGTCATTTTTGAGAAATTTCGAGCCATTTGGTACGAACCATTTCCACCCCGAGTATTTGGAGCCTTGATGTTCAAAGTTCCCAAAAGCTGGCCCGACTCGCAACCTCGCCCCGAGACCCGCGACCTCGCGGAGCACTAGTGCCCAGGGCCAGTCGCGAGCACACGCTGAGACCCGCGAGCACGCGACGCTGTCCGCGACATGGAGAGTGCCTCCGCCACCTGCCCGCGCCCGTGGAAGAACTCGCGAGGTTGAGAGTACATCCATCTGCCACGTCCGCGCGCGCGAGCTCCCCTGCGACCTCGAGAGTGTCCCTTTTCCTCGCGCCAACCTCGTTCCGCCCCGTGCCAAACGATGCCCCCGACCAGCGGAATTTCTAGCGACCTCAGGAGTGTTTTATTAAAATGTGCATGTTTTTAGTGTGTGTTTGAGTTGTAGCTATAAATAGACATTATGCTTTGTATTTTTGGACACCATCCCTCATTTCCCAACTTTTAAGTTGAGAAATCCTCTCAATTTTCTCTCTTTTCTTTTTTATGCTTTGGTTGGGAGGTCCATGACTATTTTTCCGGTGAAATTCCAACAAGTTTATTTTCGTCCAAGTTTCGAGCTTTATTCACTATTTTCGTTCAAGCATGCGATAGGAGAGTAGGTACCTTGCCTAGGCCCTTCTACTTCGAGTTTGTGTTGTCGAATTGTGTGTATGCTCATTTCTAGGGCTTTACTTTATTTTTATTGCTTGTTTACATGTGTTAGGAATCTGTATGTGCTTATCTTGTGTAGAGATATCGACTTTGTTCAAAGCGTGATGATCTAGTGTAGAACGCTCGTGTTAGATTACCTAGGACCACTATGCTAGCATGTTTTCTCTTGTTTTCTTTTATTTTCTTGAGTTATGGAGATTCCGTGCAACCAATGCTTTAACATTTCTGTCGATTCTTGCATTTTTCATTATTTGTTCTTAGATTCTTAGTTCAATTTCATGCAATCAAATCCCACCAAGCGCGTAGAATGTGTAGGACCTTCTTTTTGGTTATGTGACTTTAATGACTAGGTAGTGAACGAAACTCTGAATAGCCTTCCATTGAGAACGACCTGAGTACCACATTACCCAAAAATACTACAAACAAGCGGCTCACGAGTTCGAGTTTGACCGAACTCTAGTCGAGCTCAAGCCCATATTTTGCATTGTCGAGCGGCTCGTCCAGTGGTTCGAGATATATGTGAAGTTACTAAAATACCCCTTATATATATTATAATAGTATAGATAGGTGCTTAATGGTAATTTTACTTTTCCACTTAAATATTTTCGACCTGAACTCGAGCCGAGCTCGAGCAACTTAAAAAAAAAAATTCAATCGTGCTCGATAAGACCAATGCTCGACTCGGCACGGCTCGTTTGCAGCCCTAATTCTTACACATCACATCGACTTTAATTCACTATTTATCCACTCACATAATTTTAACTAACTATCATTTACAATCATTTTTTTTCTACTTTTACATCAAATTATCTTTAATTTTTTTATTTTAAATAATATTTTAATTGAAGCTAAATATCCCCTAATAACTAACCACACTACATTTTTTTCAAAATTAATTATAATTAAAAAAACTAATTAAAAATTATTTGAATTCATACAATCAAATCACCCTCTAAGTAATCAATGGAGCCCCAATTCTATGTTGGACTCGGCTCAAATTGGAAGTGACACAAGTTGTATTAAAATTAACGGGTCACGCGGAACCTGGCGTGATAGCTAGTTCCAAGTTGGGCTTGGACCCTCCGGTTTAGGGAAAAAAAATTGATGACCCGGGAATCCAATCAACGGCCCAGGCTTCTGGTTAATGGCCGAACCCTCGACGGGCTGACCCAGATATATTTCAGCTACTTACTCAATTTTAATTTACTTGTTCTATCACACGTCATTGCAACTACAAATTCTGAAACGGCCGGAAATTTTAAATAGTGGAAAAGGACTGTTGCACACAATTATTAATTACTTTACGTACTCATATCCCAATTCTGACGTCACCAGGGACCCCCGTCAACACATTATGCATGCATTTATTTATTTCCTTATTTATTTTTTATTTCATCTTTCTCCCCTATTATTAAAGGAATAATGGCTCGATAAATATATATAACCCGTTTACTAGTATTATTACTATTATTTCCCAGGCATGCAGGCGGTTTACCTCATAAATCCCTTTAGGTGAAATATTTATAGTAAATTTTGGACCTCATTTATTGTATCTCCTCAATTTATATGCCCCAAAAAAAGCAACACTTTCACCAAATTCACCAAACAAATTCCCACACCTTGTAGTGCGTGTCTACGTCTTGTGTGTGAAAAAGAAAAAAAAAAAATATGGAAAACCCTAAAATGGGAAAACCAAACTGCCATGCCAAGAAGGAGTTGAAAAAGGGGCCATGGACTCGAGATGAAGACCAGAAACTGTTGGCTTATATTAAAGAACACGGCCATGGCAACTGGCGTTCTCTCCCATCTAAAGCAGGTTATTTATCATTTTAATTTTATTTTATTATTTACCCTAAAACACCACATATATATATATTGCCCTCAATTTTTTTTTTCAAGGATGAGGGGTAGTAACTAGTAACCCTAGTTGCTACTGATTTGTTTCGATGTGAGTGGAAAATTATAAAAATGCACATATTTATAAGAGTTGATTTAGTTTAGCCTTATTTGAAAAATAAAATTTTTAATAAAATTAAGGATATGTTGATGTAGGGCTAGAGAGATGTGGGAAGAGTTGCAGATTGAGGTGGACAAATTATCTGCGACCTGATATTAAGAGAGGTAAGATGAGCTCTCATGAAGAGAAGGCCATTATCCGACTCCATGCTCTTCTTGGCAACAGGTAATTAATTTAGAAAAGCAATTATTTTTAAGTTGTAACAATGGTTCTTTTTTTTTTTTTTTTTTTTTTATCAACTCTTACGAGTTATGACCATGACACATCGAGACACATTTTATTTTATTTATTTTTTTTTTTTTATCTAATTAACAATATTTTGTATATCTTGGCACGTGCTGAATATGTTCATTACTCACATGCAATACATCACTAGTCAGGGCCTGACCTGTCTATCACAAGTAGATAAAAGAATCTTTAAAAAACAGCTCTTAGAATAACCATAGTTAATTCATATACACTACCAAACTAAAATAATATTGAAACATAATTATTATATATAATTTGAAAACAGGCTTCTAAAAAGCTCGGGGTCCTAAAGGGAAGCATGCTCTGCATTTTCTATGACCATCCCTGGCACTGATGTACGGACTGATAGAGACAGACATAGTGATGTCATAATTACTACTCATGACACACAAATAGTACCTCTCTTTAATGTAGAGTTTTTTGTATCTACATGCCAATTTCTGCATAATTATATATGCCGAATTTTGGTGTTTCGTAATCCTATGTGTCAATTTATAGTATTTCTTCATGTAAATCTTGAAACATTTATAATTATAAAACAGTTGACTAGCAGTGTGTGTACTATAGTGTGTATGTTTTTCTAATTACTTCATTATTTTCATTTACTAATTATGTTTTTATTTACAATATATATAGGTGGTCTGCAATAGCAGCCCACCTACCAAAAAGGACGGACAACGAGATAAAGAACTACTGGAACACCCGCCTCAAGAAACGCCTGTCCAGAATGGGCATCGACCCAACAACCCACAAGCCCAAGACCAGTAGCTCGGCCCAATCCCAACACGCGGCTACACTCAGCCACATGGCCCAGTGGGAAGCCGCCCGGCTCGAGGCCGAGGCCCGCGCCTCACAACCGGCCCAACTCCACCGCCACTTCCCAGTCCCTCGGCCGCCGCCCCGCCACGTGGCGGTGTCCCCACCGTGCCTCGACGTGCTCAAGGTGTGGCGGGCCACCTCCGGGACCCTCGACTCCCCAACTTCCATTTTCAACTTCTCCGGTAATACCCATGCGGTTCCTGCAGCTGATTCTGTGTCCACAATCATTCCCAACGGAGAATCTTTTGTTGAGGGTAAAACGGACAATTTGGACGACATGAGTCTTGATTGTGATGGTGCAGTGGGTGCGGTGGACCTTGCCGCACTGGATCGTGACCCCGGCGTGGGGGAATTTGAGGATGTGAGGAACTATTGGAACGACATACTGAATTTAGTGAACTCGCCGGTGGAGTTGTCGGAGTTTTTTGACTTTTAGAGTTGATTTGGGAAGTTTGTGTGTGGTTTTACGAAATAGGGTTTAGGGTTTATTTGTGATGTGCTCATTGTAGGAGATGGCTACGGTTAGGTTTTAGTGTGTCTTTGGCAAATTGTGACAGTGACATTATTAGAATATTCACTTGTGAGTTGTCCCCCATCGTTTATATAGGGAAAATAGGCTTAATTTATAAGTCTAATGAGCTACTCTTTCTTCCACCAATTGCTTTTGGGATGAAACCCTACTTGGACTTAATCTGGATTTTCTCTGCTTATGGTGCGTTTCAATGTAGTTTCATGTTTACATGTAACATTATTCTTAAGGTAAAACCACTCAACACGGGCTACGTCATTGTTTTGGAAGTTGTGTCAAATTTTGGTTTCAGATTAATTTGAGTTTTCTCCTTTTTATGTGGCATTTTGCTCAAAATTTACATGTACAAATGATAAAGTCATCAACTCTAAAGCTTAACTCATACGCTATCATAATATCATATTATGAGATGCATCGAAAAAGTATTTCTGGTGATTAACTAAACGCTGAATTGGCTACAGTTTCAAGTCCATTTTATAAGCACAAAGTTGTTAGCTACAATGAGACAGGCATGTCATACCTCTTGAAGACATTTTTGTTTTACGACATCAAGAAATGCATAAACATGGATGAAATTAATATGCAACTAACACTACATGACATTTCGTACAATTTGAGTCATATGTACCTCAAAACACAGCATAAAATATGTTTTTTTGTAACCCGGAAGGAGTATATTAGAAAAGAATCCATTATCCACCTTTTTTTTCGAATCACGGTTCGTGTCCTTTCATTTCGTGTCTTTACCTTATAAAGATGTATGTTTACTTGTTTACTAATAAATATTTATTGGTTCTCAAACATACTCTTGATTAGGTTTCATCATAAAATTAAATGAATGGATATTAGTTTAAAATTGATTGTTCGTCACTTTATTTATTTATTATTATTTTGAAATTTATGGAGGACGAATTTTGTTTGATTCAATTAAGTTCTGTGATGAACTGAAAATGAATAAATGGGACTCAACATCAAAAACCTAAAATAAAAAATAAAGAAAATTACCTAGTGAAGCCCATTACGTTCACTAGAATATTGGGCCTTTATTGCAATTCAAGAACGGGTACGTTTTACCCAGCTCTAACATTCGGAGAAACATTACAAAATGGGTCAAATCATATCAATGTGAGCGCATAAAATGTTTTCAGCTTTTCCAGCCACGTAGCCTGATTTTTAACGGGGGCCCAACTATTATTTCCTCACGCACAGCACCACTTGGCCAGTTGGCCACCGTCGAAAAATGAACGCCGGCGACCGTGGCGTCAGGAAAATCATTCTAACATCCCTGGCGGCGAGTGCGGCGGAGACGGCCACTTTCCCCATAGACCTTCTCAAAACTCGCCTCCAACTTCACGGCGAATCAACGCCGTCGGTCCGCCCGGCCTCGGCGTGCCGAATGGCTCTCCAAATCGCGCGCAACGACGGCTTTTTTGGGATGTATAAAGGTCTGTCTCCTGCTATTTTCCGGCACATGCTCTACACTCCGACTCGAATTGTTGGCTACGAATATTTGCGCAACCGTATTGCACAATCGACTGATCGTGCGCTTCCATTTTACAGCAAAGCAGTGATTGGTGGGATTTCTGGTGCTATTGCTCAGGTACAGATCTATTACTCAGTCAAATTATCTTTTTAGCAATTTTCTGTTTAAATTGAAAGGGTTAATGTATAAATTTATTAAACTGGACAGGTCCTAGCATTGCGTTTCTTCATTAAAAAACATGAAGAACTTATGCATTTTAAGGCTATGGAGTTTGATTGATTATAGAATGAATATTCTTAGTTCTGGATATGAAATGCTAATGCTAATTTCAAATATTGTTTTCCTTTACAAACGAAAAATACGATTGCTGGAGTATTTATCGACATGACTTATTGTTTATCTGAAAGCAAAGGACTAATAATGTACTGGATGCAAGGTTTTCTGAGTGGTTCATGAGTAGCTGAATCATATCTACCTTTTCTTGGCTTTACTAACAAAGAATTTTAAGGCAGTACACTTTAGGCAGCACTAAGATAGTAAACTATTGTTATGTACTGAAGGGTCAATTTGGAGCATTTTGGTCATTATTAGAAGGCATGTAAATAATTGCTGTCTGAGTAGTTCATCAATATGACGTCTTGTTTACCTGAAAGCAAAAGGTTAGGCTTACAGGATGCGCAACATTTCTGATGAGGTACTAAGAAGCTTAGTTATATTGCTATTTTTGGGCTTCCACTAACAAGGCATTTTGAGGTTGCTTTACTACTTTAGTGGGCACTAAGATAGAAACTATTGTTATTTATTCAAGGTTAAGTTTGGAGCATTTTGGTTCAGTGTTGGAAGGCAGAGAAATCTGAATTCTATTATTACCAAGTGGTGAACTGAAATATATAGCAGCAATGATGGTGGTGGTAGTATGTTATTGGACGATTCAGTTTTAGAAAAATGAATATCTTGAATAGTTCATTACAGATTTATCTTTATTCGAGTGAGGTCCATTATGCTCCTGTTATGATGGTGCTCTGTGGAATGATGCTGCTCAACTGGAATGATGATCATCTCATCATAAGAACCTTTCCAAAGTTGTTAATCTCAACGTCAACTCATCAGCATTGCTTAATTTCCATAAGCCGTGTGTGATAATGAAAGTTTATTAAGAGTTTATGGTGGAAAGAGGTTAGCTGGAAACTTTAACATGTTTTCCTTTCGTCGTTTTCAGTGTCTTTTATTCTGAGACATTACCACCTTTATCTTTTCCATCATTTTTCTCTTTAGAATGGACATCCCATGTCCAAATACGTAACTTGTTTTCACAAGCTAGATATGTGTATGATTATCAGATTGATTATCATTTAGGATAGGATTTTGTATGGAATGAATGAGATATTCACTTTCTCGGGCCTTCGGAAAGAAAACAAAGAGAAAGTGATATAGCACAAAGAGGCTCATAGGGAAGTGTCATAGACCGAGCTCAAGTGGAGCTCAGCATTTGTCTATAGAAGCTCAGGGTTCGATGGCTGAACTTAGGATGTCTGCAGAAGCTCAGGGGTTGTATGCATTTGGTCTTTAATAATATGATCTGGAAATTGAGCTTTTAATTTAATAAGTTGGGCAAGTAATTCAGCAAATGCCACTATTCGAGTGGATAACAAATTCACATGAGACCATCTACTGGAGGCATCAATCAATACCATAAAAATATCTAAAATGGACCGCAGGATGAATGAATATGTCCACATATATCACTATGAATCCTTTCTAAAAATAATGGTGATTCGTTTCCGACCTTAGTATGTGGTGGTCTCATTATCAATTTCCTTTTAGAACATGAGACACATGACAATTCATGTGATTGAAATATCTTCTGGTTTTTCAATGGAGAACCATTAAATTTTTCAATAATTCTTCTCATCATTATCGAGCCAGGGTGACTAAGTCGAATCATGCCAAAATTTAAACATTCCATCGACTTTGAATTTGCTGCAGCATAGGTCTCGATAATATAAATGCAGGTGTAATATAAGGCCGAGCCGAGGATAAAGCGGGTAACTTTTCCAAAGCACATTTATTTCCCGCAACATTTGAGGTAATGCAAAGATATTCATCTCTCCCTTTATTCATAGTCTCAATGTGATATCCGTTCATACGTATATCTTTAAAGCTCAACAAATTTCTTGTTGATTATGGAGAGAGTAGCGCATTATTTATTATAAATTTTGTACCCCCATCATAAAAAAATATCGCTTTTCCAGAACTCTCAATTATCTTTGCACTTCCGGATATTGTGTTCACTTTTGCTTCATTTATTTTCAAGTGACGAAATGTTTTCTGTCCTTGAGTATAGTATGAGTAGTGACACAATCTGCAAGACATATATCTCCATTTTGGATTCGAGATTGATCCATGATCTTAAACAAAAACGACAAATATTACTGATTAATTGCGAAATACAGATAAAAGTAGTCCACATACAAATACAATCAAACTCAGAATTTTTTTAGCAATACATAGAAAACATGATCATCAATTATTCTCTTGGTCATTTCCAGCTCTATTTTCTAATATCGTGTCGGTAAAATCTATTTTGAATATATCATCGATGTCATAGTCATCTTCCTCACGTGTTCCATCAGATTCCCAAATCACAAAATTAGTTTCTATACTCTTCCCTTTTAATGTCTGGGAATCTTTATAATTATCAATAACGTGTCTCGGAGTCAATGTTTCTCGGAGCATGACAATTTCGTGCCCGTCTCTTCCTTCTGCATCGATAACATGCATTTTTATCATTATATTTTATGAAATTTTCTATCAAATTATTCTGTTCAAAATTTTGCTGGAAATTTCTCCCCCTTTCATTGGCCGTCATTTCTATCATGTCCACGATTATATCCTCGTCCTGAGTTATATCCTCGGTGAAATCTGCGGCCTTGGCTCTGGACTGTATCCACGGCCAGGTATATCCACGCACATGTGTTTGGCTGTTTTCATTTCTACTTCCCTGTCTAGAGATTATAACATTTATCTCAGGGACCGCGATAGAACCCGTGGGTCTTCATGGTTTTCATTAACAACTTATTATTCTGTTCAGCTAGCAACAAGCAAGAAATCAACTCAGAATATTTTACAAAACCTTTTGCTCTATATTGTTGCTGCAAAAGTACGTTGGATGCGTGGAATGTGGACAACGTTTTTTCTAGCCTATGGTAACAGTTATTGTTTTCCCGCATAATTTCAATACTGATCAAATGCGAAACATTGTTGAATTGTACCCATTCACAGTTTTAAAATCTTGGAAGTGTAAGTGCATCCAATCATAACGAGCCCGAGGGAGAATTACTATTTTCTGATGATCATACATTTCTTTCAAGGCTTTCCAAAGTTCCGAAGGATCTTTCACGTTAAATATTCATTTTTAAGTCCCTCATTCATATGATGTCGTAGAAATACCATTGCTTTCGCTTTATCTTGTACTGATGAATCATTTGGGAAAATTATTGTTTTTCCCAATCCCCTGGCATCCAAATGAATTTAAGCATTTAATATCCACGAAATATAACTTTTTCGAGAGATATCAAGTGCCTCAAATTTGAGCTTGACCAGGTTTGACATGGTAACTATAAAATACAACATCAATGCTTAGATTTGAGAAATTTATATGTAAAATTATTCAAATCAAATCAGAACGGCTAAAAAGAAACGCATTAGAAAAAGACCTAATTATACACATAAATTTCTCAAATCTAACCATTGATATTGTATTTTATAGTTACCATGTCAAACCTGGTGAAGCTCGAATTTGAGGCACTTGATATTTCTGGACAAAATTATGTTTCGTGGACATTAGATACTGAAATTCATTTGGAATTTGGATGTAAAGAGATTGAAAAAAATAATAATTTCCCAAATGATTTATCACTACAAGATAAAGCGAAAGCAATAATATTTCTTCGACATCATGTGAATGAGGGACTAAAAAATGAATATTTAATCGTGAAAGATCCTTCGGACTTTGGAAAGCCTTGAAAGAAATGTATGATCATTAGAAAAGAGTAATTCTCCCTCGGGCTCATTATGATTGGATGCACTTACGCTTCTAAGATTTTAAAACTGTGAATGAGTACAATTCAACAATGTTCCGCATTTGCTCAGTATTAAAATTGTGCGGGAAAACAATAATTGATTACGATATGCTAGAAAAAACGTTGTCCACATTCCACGCATCCAATGTATTTTTGCAGCAACAATATAGAGCAAAAGGTTTTGCGAAATATTTTGAGTTGATTTCTTGCTTGTTGCTAGCTGAACAGAATAATGAGCTGTTAATGAAACACCATGAATCTAGACCTACGGGTTCTACCGCGGTCTTTGAGATAAATGTTATAATCTCTAGACAGGGAGTGGAAATGAAATAGCTAAACACGTGCGTGGATATACCTCGGGACGTGGATATGGTCCAGATCGCCGATCTGTCCAATGTTGCAGATTTCACTAAGGATATAACTCAGGTTGAGAATATAATCGTGAACATGGTAGAAACGACGCCCAGAAGTATGAGAGGGGGAGAAATTTCCAGCAAAATTTTGAACAGAATAATTTTATAGAAAATTTCATAAAAGATAATGATGAACAGGCATGTGATGCGGAAGGAATACATTGGGTATGAAATTTTCGTGCTCCGAGACACTTTATTGATAATTATAAAGATTCCAAAAAATTAAAAGTGAAGAGTATTAAAACTAACTTTGTGATTGGGGAATCCACCGATGATGCAACACGTGGGAAAGATGATTATGACATCGATGATATATTGAAAATGGATTTTGCGGATGCGGTATTTGAAGATAGAGCTGAAAATGACCAAGAGAATAATTGATTGTCATGTTTTCTATGTATTGCTAAAATATTTCTAAGTTTGATTGTATTTGTGTGTGGACCACTTTTATCTGTATTTTGCAATTGATTGATTAGTAATATTTGTCGTTTTTGTTTTATAACGTAGATCAGTCTCGAATACAAAATGAAGATATATGTCTTGCAGATTGTGCCACTACTCATACTATACTCAAGGACAGAAAATATTTTGTCATTTTTCAAATAAATGAAGCAAAAGTGAACACAATATCCGGTAGTGCAAAGATAACTGAGGGTTCTGGAAAAGTAATTTTTTTTGATGGGGTACAAAATTTATAACAAATGATGCGCTATTCTCCCCAAAATCAACAAGAAATTTGTTGAGTTTAAAGAAATACGTATGAATGGATATCACGCTTAGACTATGAATAAAATGAGAGATGAATATTTTGCATTACCTCAAATGTTGCGGGAAATAAATATGTTTTGCAAAAGTTACCCGCTTCATCCTCGGGCTTATATTACACCTGCATTAATATTATCTAGACCTATGTTACAACAAATTCAAAGTCGATTGGAATGTTTAAACTTTGGCATGATCGACTTGGTCACCCTGACTCGATAATGATGAAAAAAATTATTGAAAATTCTAATGGTCATCCCTTAAAACCAAAGGATATTTCAATCACATTAATTGTCATGTGTTTCATGTTCTTCTAATGGGAAAGTGATAGTGAGAACATCACATACTAAGGTCGGAAATGAATCACCATTATTTTTAGAAAGGGATTCATGGTGATATATGTGGACCTATTCATCCACCCTGTGGTCCATTTAAATATTTTTATGGTATTGATTGATGCCTCCAGTAGATGGTCTCATGTGAGTTTGTTATCCACTCGAAATGTGGCATTTGCTAAATTACTTGCCCAACTTATTAAATTAAAAGCTTAATTTTCAGATCAGTATTATCAAAAGAGTCAGACTTGGCAATGCTGATGAATTTACATCTCAAGCATTTAATGATTATTGTATGGCAATTAGCATTGATATTGAACATCCTATGACGCATGTTCATACTCAACATTTTTTGAGCTGAATCATTAATTTAACGCCCGCAGCTGATAGCCAGACCATTGATAATGAGGACAAAACTCCCGACTTCAGTATGAGGACATGCTATCCTGCATGTAGAGGATCTAATTCGAATAAGACCAAGTGCATACCATAAATACTCGCCATTACATTTGGCATTTGGTCGAGAACCAAATATTGCACATTTAAGAGTTTTTTGTTTTTCAGTGTATATATCAATGGCTCCACCCCAACGTACAAAAATGGGGAGTCAAAGAAGGTTGAGAATATATGTTGGATATGAATCTCCATCAATAATTAAATACCTCGAGCAAAAAACATGTGATATTTTTACAGCTCGGTTTGATGATTGTCATTTTAACGAAGAATTATTCCCCCCCCCCCCAAAAGGTGGGAATGAAAAGTCAATTGAGAGAAATATTGAATGGAGAACATCATCGCTATAATATCTTGATCCTCCAACCAAACAAAGAAAGCAAGAAGTCCAAAAGATTATACAACTGCAGAATATTGCATATCAGTTGTCAGAGTCATTTAATGACTCAAAAATGGTGACCAAATCACATGTGGCAGCTGTGGATGCCCTTGCTTGAATAGAAATTCCAAAAAAGATAAATGATAATATGTCAAATGAGTCAAAGACACGCTTGAAACGAGGATAAAAATCCAGAAAGAAAAGAGAAATTCATGACCCGAATTTGAAGAAGAATCCAGAAAATCATGATGATGAAAAATTTTCGGAAAGAAATGAAATATTGAAATTTCCATTAATTACATAAATAATGGGAATTTTTTTGAAGCGAGGTGAAATCATAAATATTGATAATGCATTTACATATATGGTATAAAGAAATTGATAATGAAGTTGAGGATCATGAGCCAAAATCAGTAATTGAATGTCAGAAATGACATGATTAGGATAAGTGGAAAGGCACCATCCAAGCCGAGTTAGATTCACTTAATAAACGAAAAGTTTTTGGGCCTAATTCCATTATACGAAAAGGCATAAAATCTATTGGACACAAATGTGTTTTCATCATAAAAAGAAATGAGAAAAATGAAATCACGAGAAAAAGAAATGAGAAAAATGAGATCACGAGATATAAAGCTCGCCTTGTAGCACAAAGAAGTGAGAAAAATGAGATCACGAGATAAAAAGTTCGCCTTGTAATACAGGGATTCATCCAAAGGCTTGGGATCGATTATCATGAAACATATTCCCCTGTCATGGGTGCAATTACTTTCAGATACTTGATTAGTTTAACTATGCATGAAAATCTTGAGATGCGTCTCATGGATGTTGTGACTGCTTAATTGTATGGATCATTAGACGCTAACATTTACATGAAATTCCAGAAGGATTCAGAATGCCCGAAGCACTAAAATCCAAACTTAAGGAATTATTTTCGATAAAGCTGCAAAGATCATTGTATGGCTTGAAACAATCTGGGCGTATGTGATATAATTGTTTGAGTAAACAATTGCTAAAAAGGGGATACATAAATGATCAAATATGTCAGCATGTCTTTATAAAATTATCACATGATGGAGTTGTGATGCTGTCTATGTTGATGATTGGGACATCAAATGAAATTCAAGAAGCAGTCACTTTACTAAAGACGAATTTGAAATGAAAGATCTCAGGAAAATCAAATATTGTCTCGGCTTGCAAATAGATTAACATATGGGGTGATGAGCATGAGTTGTAAACAATTAGGTATGAGTTGTAAACAAGTTGGATATGAGTTGTAAACATGTGGAACCAAATTATTGTACATATTTATTGAGATGTATGAGTAGAGGTTGTCTATAAAAGGCAACCCAAATGAAGTGAAACAATACACTTACAAAATAAGAAAAATCATATTGTGAGTTATATCCGGTTTCTGTTTTGAGTTCGTTATATTCCTTGCATTTATAACAACTCCACACTACTCGATAATTCTTGTGGTGGGTACAAATAATAATATTAGGTGTATTTATTATAACTTGAAATTATTTTTCTTTATTGTTAGTAATATATGAAGAAATCTTAAAATATCGATCTTTCCACGTTCCTTATCTTTTTGAGATCATGCTGATAACGTGTTATAAATGCAGAGAAGATAACGAACTCAAGATAGGAAACGGATATAACTCATAATCTGATTTTTCTTCTTTTGTAAGTGTATTTCTCCACTTAATTTGGGTTGTCTTTTATAGGCAACCTTTATTCAATAAATATGTACAATAATTTGGTTCCACTTGTTTAATACTCATGTCCATCTTGTTTACAACTCATGCCTACTTGTTTACAACTCATGCTCATCACCCCATATGCCAGACATTTCACTGGTTTAATTCCATTTGTTTACAACATTCAAAATTTTTTAGGAAGAAATAAAAATAAACAAATAATTCGAATCAAAATGCTATTTCTGGAGTCAAATGCTTTTAGGAAGAAATAAAAAATAAACAAATAATACGATTTTGTCGTATTACAGAGTCAAATGTTTTCCTCTAAAATGATGGAGAGCTTGAAGTTTTGTAATTTAAGGTTAGTACTCAAGGAATAGTGGTAATCTGAGTGGAGAAGTAAATCCTTTAATTGAGAAGGAGAAGCTTCAAATAATAGAAATTAGAAGCTTCAATATTATAATTTAGCTCAGGGTCATTCAGCTTGCATTATTGGGCTCTTCTTTACTAACAGCCAATGCACATTATTTTTTGATACTGTCCAGTTAACTTGACAAAGAAAATTGTAATCCTGGTAGCTCCCTAGCTCGACGTCAAGGAGAGGCTCGAGCTCGACTAAAAGGTTCAGACGGTTGGGAAGTTGGCTATCATTAAGAGAAACTATTTATGTTCTGCGGGAATGCAGTTCCAATGAGACTAACTCGTGAGTTGAAATATGCCAGTACAATCAGATGCTAACAAAGCTAGATATGAGAATTTCTAGTCAACTCCTAACTTCCTCAATTTACCTTCAATACATGGCATAATGCCTCTTTCTATTTCCAACGTATGTTGCCTTATAATAGAAAATCAATCGACTTTGACCCTGGGCCAGGTTTTCTTGCTGTAATTCCAAACCTCTCCTCTTCGGATTTTGCTAACATATTTCAGTTAATTATGATCATTTTCAATTATTCAATGATATAAAAATACTTACACCCTTTTTTGTAAAATGTCGGCCTTATGTCAGTTCAGAGCCATTGATTTGTAGTATACTTCTATTATTATCATTATGGTCATCATTATTGATTATTTTTGTTTATTATTATTTTTAGGATAAATAATTTTTTCCAACATGTACTATACGTGTTTTTGGGATTTTCAACCTAAAGTATTTTTTTTTTGTAAAATGTAACCTGAACTACATATATACAATTATTTGCACGCTCGACTACTTTTTGACCTTCCGATCATAGCAAAAAAGGACACGTGTATAGTTAAGATGTGGTCGAGCGTGCAAATAGTGACTGTATATGTAGTTCAGGTTGGAAAAAATTATTTACCCTTATTAGGGTTATTATTATTTGGGAGTTATATTTTCTCTTTCACAAAATAGGTAATCACTAGCCCTGCTGATCTCATCAAGGTAAGAATGCAAGCCGATGGTCTAAGGGTCAGCCAAGGCCTTCACCCTCGATATACGGGACTTTTTGACGCCTTAAACAAAATTATCCATACTGAGGGACCTTTGGGCCTCTGGAAAGGCGTATCAGCAAATGTCCAAAGGGCGTTTTTGGTAAACATGGGCGAATTGGCCTGTTATGATCACGCCAAACGATTCATTATCGAGAATAAAATTTGCAACGACAATATTTACGCCCACACACTGTCCTCGGTTTTATCGGGCCTCTCGGCTGCCACATTGAGCTGCCCGGCTGATGTCATCAAGACAAGAATGATGAATCAGGCTGCAGGTAGGGGTAAAGTCGTCAAGTATAGAAATTCGTTTAACTGTCTTACGGAAACTGTTAGGATCGAGGGGTTTAAGGCTTTGTGGAAGGGCTTTTTTCCTACGTGGGCCAGGCTTGGGCCGTGGCAGTTTGTGTTTTGGGTGTCTTATGAGAAACTCAGGCAGTTTGCTGGATTACAGTCCTTCTAAGTAGGTACATTTTTTACAAACTTTTTTTTTTTTTTTTTTTTTTTTAATTTAATTTAACAGGCTTGTGTTGAATATGGAACGTGGTTGGTTCTTGGCTAAGTACGGGTTTTGGGGGAATTTAGCAGTGTTTATTGGTAAAACATTCATGGAAAGACTTTATGCGCAATTGGTGAGTCCTTTTCTCCTCAACGTACCTTTTTTACTTGTGTTTGAATTTAAAGCTGTACCGTCCTTTTATTTCTTCTTTGAGGCCCACTGAGTAGGCCGTCTTTCTCCCCGTGCTGTAAACATTGTTGCATGGTACTATGTGAAGCATAGTCTGTTAATGTCTGAAGCATTAAGCATTAGAAATTTAAGTGGGCTGTCAAGGCTGCAAAATCCTTTTATTTGAATAATTTTTCGAGCCCTTTTGGTCAATTGTCATTCTAATTTTCGAAATAAGGAATTTAGTTGGTTTTTGGTTGCCATAACGTTCTCTAAACTAGAAAAAATACAAAAAATTTATTTATGTTATATTCTCTGGCAGGATATGGAGTAGCTACAACTCAACAACTAATATTCAAAAATTAATGAATCGTGATCTGTGATTGTTAATATTCGTATGGTGAGTGTTTAGTTAATTGAAAAAAGACCTACTAGCTACTATTATTTTTCTAGAATGAAAAGTATTAAGTTCATATTTATTAGAAAAAAAANAAATATCCACAATTGCTCCTCAAATTGTCAAATTCGGGAACTTAAAAAATTATGTATATAAAAAATTAGATGTTTCAATAATTATTTAATATATCTAATGTTGTTGCAATTTTTTTAATACTTTGTGTGATTGAAATTTTAATTATATATAACTGCTTCATTTTTATTTTATTTTTCCACTGCCATGGAGCCGTTTGATAGTCACCAGCAGCGCTACAAGAAGTCATAAACTTAAAATATACTCCATAATTTTCAAAAACATTCTTCCTACAGCCACAAAATTACATTAAAAAATAAATAAAAAATGAGCACAGTACTACAGTTATATGAAGCGCGTGCGCATTTACCAACCATTTATTAGTAGTTAAAGAATGTTTAAGAAGCTCCCAACTCCTCCACTGGGCCTTGTTTAAAATGGCAATCACACCTCTCAGTTCTCACACAGCAGTTATTTAAGGCTGCTTTTCTTTTCATTTCTTTTTCCTCCCCATTTTTTGTAAATGTTGCATGTATTCACTATACACACAGTACTTGCATTTGTAGCCCTTTGGTGGTGACAAATAAATGTATGTACTGCCACTTTATCCTAGCCACATATCTTACCCTATTGGGGTGTATATTATTTTTTCTTAATTATGAATAATAAACAGTAAATTTGTTATATGGTGGTGGTGCAGCACTATTTGTATGGGATGCCTAGAGATGTTTGAGTTCGTTGAGAGTTGTATAAAAAATGTATAAGGCATTTTTTTTAAGGTGACACTATAAAATATTGTAAGTAATGGGTCTAATTGTAATTAAGCACATTAGGAGATTTGTTAAAAAAGAATGGAAGGAAAATTATACTATGTGATTATGAATTAGAAAATGCCTTTGGTTCAAAATTCACTCAGCAATGATGTTTTATTTGATAAGTTCCTTGGACTTTGGAGCTCAATTTCATGTTATAGTTACTGCTCTAAAGTCTAAAGAAGGAAGACAAAATTGCATTTTGTGTCTTGTAATTATGCATGTGTGGTAAATGTGGACAGCTTCTTTCTGGTTTGGCAAAAGTGCCCTGAAACTTGTTAAAACCCAGAATTTGTGCCCAATTTACCTACAAGTTACCGGATTTGATCGGGTTTTTCGTGTAGCAAAACAGGATAGTAACTTGTTAAAATTTGAAATTTGTGCCCAAATTGGGCACGGATTTCGGTTTTTAACAAATTTCAGGCATTTTCGGCAAACCAAAAAGAAGCTGTCCACATTTGCCACACACCCCTAGTTACAAGACATAAAATGCAATTTTGCCTTTATTCTCCGTCCTTTTATGTTTTTTTTAACATTAGGGTTTTATTAAAGATATAAGCTTATTATTCAAGCTGACTAATTTATGCCCTTTCATAATAGATAAATACCATGATCGTGTCAGTATTTTGATTAGTAATTGTTATTGGGGTAAGATTGGAGAAGCTTTTTGTTTTCAATCGTGATAATTTTATTATGTTCCCCTTTTCTCCATTTTTATTTTTCATTTTAGTTGTAACAAATAGAGGAATGGTTTTGTTGTGCCGTAGATTTGACATTTGAGAAGTGAAGAGCAGGTGATGTCAAATAGGCATGCATTTGAAAAACGTTGAAAAACGATGATTTTTCAATGGCTTACACTAGCAATTATGGCTCTGATTCTCAGTATTACTCGGACAGGCAGGGGACGTGTTTACATTTTCTTTCAAGTATATGATACCCTCTTTTTTTTTTTTATTTTTTAACAAAATATATTAAAACTAGTAAAAAAACATATGTTAAGGCTACAGTCCTGTTACGGAACCATTCCGTTAGGATATGTAACCGTTAGATGCACATGTAGATTAGTGTAGCATGTACATCTAGCGGTTCCAAATCTCAACGAAATGGTTCTGTAACAGGACTTTAGCATTTTTTCAAAACATAACACGTATCCCGATGGGCTTACACACGGAGAATCCTAAACTAACGCACACAACTCCTACGAACAGACAAAACATTCCAACACTGAGAGACTAAATACCCAGACACAGTTGGAACTAATGAAAAAAATATATATATACATAAAAACACCTTAAAAAATTATAAATAAAATATAGTTTCCTCTACTTCTAGCGTCCATACCGTTATTGTCCCACATCCCAACACTCATAGCCTCATATAGTCTTCGAAACTAAAGGACAAAAGAGAACTACAGATTTGATCCCCTAGATGTAAACACTCCAATTCCTGAAACGGCTTGCCAGATCTAACAGGAAGTTGTATCTCGAGCCCTCAAACCCAAACTCTAAGCATAAAAAAAATCAAAGTCTCAACATGCCTCGGTAACTGTGGCCAGTCTGCCTTGCCCCATCTTTTTCGATCAAGGGGCTGGGACCAGTTGCAGTGACGACGACTTTCCCCGACGCGGGTTAACTATATTTGTATATAAATACTATGGTCTCTGTATATATAAGTATATTAGTACAACCCCGTGATTACACGAGTACTAGTTAAAAAATTTAGAGATATATTTTTTTATATAAATTTCAAATAATTTTAAAAATTTGCATTGTTATCTATATATAAAATGTGATTTTTTATTTGTAAGATTTGCATATCTTATATTATAATACTTTTCTAATTCATGTGTAATGAGTTTATATATGACTTTTTGAATTGATATATAGTGTATTGATTTTTGATTAGTATTAGTAGATGATTTAAATTTATAATAAAAAATAAAATGATTTATTTATTTTATATGCACAGTATGGGTATCAAATTAAAGCTCGTTAAAAGTTAATTAATTTGGTATATTATAGACAGAAATCCTATAACAAGTTAATAAGTTATTAACTTTACAAAATAATTATAATTTATGTAAGTTAAAATGTTTTATAATTTTAAAAGTTTAACGGATATTTAGAGTCTAGATCTACATGGGCTACTTCAAATCACACCCGTGTATATATGGTGATG